AGCAGTCCCTTAGTTTTTTCTTTAACTGCAGTATTGCCTGTGGATTTAATCTAGAAAAGTCTGAACGACCTCTGAAAAAGAACTTTTCTTACAATGTGAAGAGAGCTGCTTTTTTCTTACTGTTTTCTCATGAATACTTGAGATGTAGACCTGAAAGCCACGTGATGCTCAGGAGCTTTTACCTGGCCAAACATTTTAACTAAAACTGTTCATTACAAACAAGTAGTTATGCTTTTTAAAAAGTTACCCACATTTCACTGTCCCTGCGATATAGTAGTGACCCCTGAAGAAAAGGCGCAGGTATACACTGGAAATGCACTCAGCAAAACTAAGGCATGTCTTGGCTCTCCAAATTCTCATTTAGACGAATTTTTCAGACTGGACCTTGTTATAGAATAGTTTCAACTCCCCCATGATTTGATGGTGCTCGTGCATTGGAATATATGTTTTAACTTTTAAAATATTATTTTAATTCCCATTGTTCTCTTATGTAACTCTGCTCCCAATAAGCAGGTCTCATTGTCCCTGGTGTTTGACAGGTTATCTCACCTTTGAGTCCCATTCCTTCTCCTGCCTGAAGCCTTTCCTGCAGTCAGCCTAATCTGAAGGTCTGGCTCAAGTCACGGTGCTAGGGACCGTCTCTCTCTAAAACATGATTATATTTTGTTGAGTGTTAGAATTCACAAGAAGAGTATTTTTCCCAGTGTAGAATGTTTGCATCCACTCACTGCCTCAGTGCAGATTTTTTTTAAGGGGGCTCTAGGTTTGCCATTGAAATTCTTTTCAATCCATAAACTGGTTGTTTTACTTACAGCAGCATGTTACAAATGACTGTTGGGTTTTTTTTTTTTTTTAAGCATTGATAATATTAACACCTTTAATTTATCCTGAATAATATAGTGTTAAGTTAGTAGATGGAATTGGCAGTCTGGAGTGATTAATCTGGTATGGATTTCTTTGTTGTGTCATTTTAGTTTTGAACTGAACTATCTGAACTGTTGTTCAGTTTTGTGTGGCATTTTAAAAATTCAGTAACCTTAAACTCGTCTACCTTTCAAAATATTTGTATATTTTAAAATAAAATAAAGCTGATGGTGAATAGGTTTTGAAAATCTAAGAGTAACTTTATATTTAACAATCGTTTCTTCAGACTAATCTTTACAGAAGTAATGCTATCCTCTCCCAGTTAACGGTGGCCATTTTCTCATCTGTTAATCACATATTTTTAAACTACTGAGGGAAATAATTACTGTTGGCATTTTTTTGTCCTAAGTGCTATTGAATAAGTGTAGAAGGATAAGATATTATTATGAGAAACAAAGTGTTGTAACTGGAAACTGAAAATTGAGCCATAGGCAGAGATTCACCCCTTCTGTACTATTCTGTATTCTGTATAATAGAGCTGTACTATTTCTTGAGAAAAACAACCTCTGAAGTAAACTGTCAAGCGAACCTGATGACAAGATCACCCTTCCACCACTCCTGGACAAGACTAGCCTACTGGATATCAGAGATGTTTTGTGGCTGGATTATACTTGATCATATACAGGGATCAATACTTCTCTGCTCTGATAGGAGATTTCATTTATAAATTGAAATTCACTTTGGATATTCTCTGGGGTTTTACACTAAGCCTTTTGTCTATGGAAATAGCACTGTTCAGAATCAGAAGAAACTACTGTACATTAGGCTAAGTATTAGCAAACAAAATGGGAGTTCCAACTGAGATTGTATATTAAAATGTAGTATGCCTAGTAGTTCCTTAGCTAACATCTATTCATTAAATGTTTATGTACACTCTGCATCATACTTGGAATACAGAAATGGAAAAGGTGCAGCCTCTACTTGCAGGTACTTGCAGTCTGATGGAGGACAGTCTATAAATGAAATGGTAAGTTCTAGAATTCCAGTTTAAAGACAGCCTAGTGGTAGTCTAGGGGGTGTAAGTTCACTTAAGTATTTTTGAATATTTGTTGAGTATATAGTTACCAATTTCTTTACTGAGTCACCAATATGGTTTACCCTCTACCAGAGTAATTCCTCCCTAGCTAAAGTGGAGCAATGCCCATTTCATGCCTTACTTCTGCGGTGACTATGAGACTTGGATCATTTATGTCTCCATGGGCTTGAGGCCCTGTGTGGTGATCAAGAATGCGTGTCCTCGAAAAGATATCTGCACTCCCGTGTTCATTGCAGCATCATTTACAGTAGCCAAGACATGGAGACAACCCAGGTGTTCACTGACAGATGAATGGATAAAGACAATGTGCTATCTATACACAATGGAATATTATTCAGCTGTAAAAAACAAATCTTACCATTTTCAACAACATGGATGGACCTTGAGGGCATTATGCTAAGTGAAATAAGTTAGAGAAAGACAAATACCACATGATCTCACTTATATGTGGACTCTAAAAACAAAAAACCAAGGTCATAGATACAGACAACAGATTGGTAGTTGCCGGGGGTGGGTGGGGGAGAGCAAATGCGTGAAGGGGGTCAAAAGGTACAAATCTCCAGTTATAAAACAAGGAAGACACAGGGATGTAATGTACAGCATGGTGACTATAGTTAATAATACTATATTACATATGTGAAAGTCGCTAAGAGTAGATCTTAGAAGTTATCACAAGAAAGAAAAAAAATTTTGTAACTTTAAGGTAATGGATGTTAACTAGATTTACTGTGGTCATCATTTCACAATATATACATTGAATCATTACATTGTACACCTGAAACTAATATAATGTTGTATGTCAATTATACCTCAATAAAAAAAAAACGTATCCTGGAGGCAGATGGCTGATTAGAATAGTGGCTCACCACTTGCTGTGTGATTAATATCTCTGGGCCTCAGCTTTCTCGGTCATAAAAAGAATAATAGAACCAATTGTTTTAGTCTGTTTGGGCTGCTATTACAAAATACCATCGATTGGGTGGCTTATAAACAACAGACATTTATTTCTCCCAGTTCTGAATGCTGGGAAGTCCAAGGTCAAGGTGCAGGCAGAGTCGGTGCCTGGTGAGGGCCTGCTTCCTGGCTCACAGATGGCCGTCTCCTGGCGTCCTCACATGACGGAAGGGCGAGGGAGCTCTCTGGAGTCCCTTTTATAAGGGCATTAACCCCATTCAGGAGGGCTCCACCCTCACGACCTAATCACCTCCCCAAAGTCCCACCTGGTAATACTATCACCTTGGGAGTTACATTTCAGCCTATGAATTTGGGGGGACACCGACATTCAGACCATAGCTCTGACCTACCAGAGTTGTTTTGAGGGTACTATAAGATGACACCTGAAAGACTTAGAGCCCGCAGGGAGGAGATGCTCAACGAATGTCAGCCATCACCTCTTCATCAACAAGGAAAGGGAGATTCGAGGGCAAGGATGGGAATAAAAGAAGTACTGGGACTTAATACACAGCCTACCATGCTCTGACCTCCTCCTCCCGAGAGGACTCTGTCTAGAGGGGGAAGAGCAGGGTCTGCTCCTGATTTGGGTTAATTGTAAGGATTGGCAGGCACTTGGGTGGTTGCTCTAAGCAGGGTCATGTTATCTAAACTCACTAAAGAGAAAAGACAGCAGTCTTTGACCTTTTAAAAAATTAACATGGCATGGTAACATTTGGTTTACTTAATATGCAAGTCCCACTTGACAAAAATAAAGATTATAATTAGGCACTTGTGCTTCCTAATCTAAAATGTGGCTCATTGTGTCCTCAAGATCACAAAGGTGTCCTCCTTCATAAAAACTTAATATGTATCCAGATTCAAAATGGCTATTACAAGGTTATGTTTACTGCAAATCAAAGAGCACCAAAAATTATTTCAAAAGTGATGTATTCCTCCTAACTTAAGGTGAAATTTTCAAAATTGCATAATTTCTTAGACATACAGTGTATTAAAGCAAAGTATATCATTTATCCATTCCCCTCCCATAACAGAAATAATACATTTGTTACTGTGGTGGAGGTGAAGCCACCGTACCTTCAATAGAATTCCACGCCACTTGTGTAAGTGGTAATGCGTCTACTTCACGCTTGTGTACTCTAGTCCCTTGTTTTGAAGAGTAAGCCAACAGCACTTTCTACTAGGTATTTAACCTGGGGTCACACATCACACAGCAAGTATTCTAATGTTTTTGTGGAATCGTTCCAGGTGCTGGAGCGGACGTTCAAGTTTCTAAGGCGAGTTTCTTCCTGGGGAGCCTATATCTACTTGGGGGATGAGGCATGGACACATGGGTGCTATCTTACATTTATAATTAGCTTTTATTTAATGCTTTAACATACAAGGTCATGTATGATGGGGGCCACAGAAACGATAAATATTGAGTGGTGTAATGTAGGAATTGCGAGAAGAGGGAAGACTTCACAGTAACAGTTGAGTGGAGTCCTGAAGGATGATAAAAGGTTATTTTTTTGGAGCTCTGTGCAGAATCATCATTTAAACACTTTGCTATTCCTTCTACATTCAGAATGAGTTAAGTGGCTAGTTCCTGTGGCCCTTCAAATGGCTGAGGAGTATGAAATGTTATCAGGATGCTTTGGCTGCAAGTAACAGAATCCCTTCTGGGACTCACCGCCACAACTGCAAGGCTGGGTCTGCACCTG